AGTTGGCATTTTGGATAAATAGAGCCCGGGAAGGTACATTCTCTTGATGCCTATGTGTTATTTTGTTGAAGCTAGTGGCAGTTAGATAGCTGCACCAAGAAGTGAGTAAACACTCACAAGTACTTGAAACGTCTTTTTTAAAATGAGACAATTATCTTGAGATAACAACTAACTAGAGGGGGGGAAATGTTGCCATGTTTAGTTTGTGTCACTCTATGATAAAGGTCCTGTGGTATAATAGTTAGAAAGCAAGACATTTTTAGTAATAATGGGCCAAAAAAGTATTTAAGATACAGCAAGATGCATGTGTTGTCGTATTGAGTATAGTCTTGCAGTATCCTTTTTTTTAAAAAAAAAGAAAAGAAAAGAAAAAAGAAAAAGAAATAAACTGTGTATCTTCTTTCCCTTCTGCTATGCTACTCAAATAACAAGAAAAGTTTGGCCTATATCCTATGACACTTTTTGTAGTTCATGTTCATGAGAAACTGTAAAAAGTCTGCTTTTTATTTAACATTGCAGTCTGTATCACATGCTGTTTATTAAAAAACTACTTTTGTTTGTTTTTATCACACTTTTGAGTGTTAATGTATATACTAACAAGTAAATTAAAATAATACAGTTGGTACACTGGTGAATTCTGAAGTGAGAATTTTAAGAAGTCTTCAGTCGTGGAGGTGTGATTTGGTGTTAAAAGCTCTGCTTTCCAAAAGGTTAAAGAAAGGAGATAGAAATTACATACGTGAGTTAATTGAGGTGAAAAAAAAAAAAACAACTAGAAATAGGATTTGCATTACTTATGGGTGTAGTTAAATGGGAAGTCTTAGATGCATGTAGCATTCATTCTTGTACATGCTAATCCTCAAAACAAGTAACATATTTCAGATGTGGTCTGTAAAAGCTGTGATAAGAAGGCAGACGTTCTTGAAGTGTTTCAGCTGAATGATTCAGCAGAGGCTTTAAAATCAATTTTGTTCTTGAAAACTATCCTTCATGCTTTCACCACCAAAATTATATTAAAACAAAGACCTAGGTTGCGTTTCTGTTTGCAAGGCTACTTTTGAAAGAATAAGAAACATATTTTGTAAATTACTCATTGGCAAATAGAGGACCATGTGGTTGCAGTGGAAATGCCTAAGTCCGGTTGGGCTCCTTTGGACTTTAACTGCTAACAGGCTGTTATCATGGGAGAGATCATCATCGGATGCTTCTTTTTGGTAGAGTTGTTTTGTTTTGTTTTCTACATTTGGGGAGCTACTTTGCAGTTACTGCTGCAGCTAGAAAGACTTGTAACTATGGTTTGTGACTAGGATTGTAACCATGGTAAGTTCTTGCAGGAGCTCATTCCGCCGTTTTGAACTGGTCCTCAAGAAAAAAAAAAAAAAAACTACCTCCTGCTCAGACGAGACCTTGGATGTTCTGCAGAGAGCAGCGACTCTAACATACATCATGAAAGGTCAGCTATTCTAGGCACAAGCTGTGGAAATTTTAGCAAACGAGGACTTCTCTGAAGCTCGGGGGAAGCTTGCGAGTGGTCCGGTTTGGTGTGCTTGTGGCAGTCTGTGTTACTGAAGAGGTGTTCTGCATCTCTCTACGCTTGTTGGAACTTCCTCACTGGGGAGGGTGTCTGACTCGGGTGGGATAGCGCTGCTGTCATCCAGCTGCGAGCAGAGGTAGTGTGAATAGCTGTGGCTGATACCAGGTGTAGCCTACTAGCCAACCAGTGATGAAGCATTGCTCATGGATACTATAATGATAGAGTTTACCCTCTGCAAGGAATACAATCTGATGGCGCTAATTTGTTACCCTAGCATCTAAGAGGTGTTGAACTTCTGCAGAGAATTAGGAAAATAAAAAGAAATGTCTCCTCTACTGTCAGAAGTCAAATGTCACGTTACATAGTATGTAAGAGACTCTCTGTTTTCAGAGCAAGACAGGAACTCATGTAAAAGATATGTTTTGTCACAGGTAAACCACAACTAGGTCATAAGCCTCGAGAGCGTGAAAAAACAGGATGAACTATATTAATTTGCTATGTTGTTCCTACACTTTGCTTAAAAGGTGTGAAAATGTAAGCTCTGCA